GCTGGGAGGAGCCGGCTCGTTTCTCGACTCGCTTCCGTGTATTGGCAGACAAGGAGGCTGGAGCACTGGAGCCCTCGGGTTAAGGCTGTCCTGGGAATGCAGCAGGAGAAGAGTCTGGAGAGAAGCCCTCCTTGAATTGTCTTCCCAAAGATCCCCCCTGATTGATTGATTGTCACTTTCCCCTGGATCCCCATCCCCCACCCCGTCCTAAACCCCAATATCCCCAGAGCTGTTTTCTAGGACAGGCAGGAATTTTTCCACCCCAAATCCTCCTCCTTCCATGTCAGGAGCCCCCAGCACGGGAGAGTTTGCAGAATGAGAAATATTGAAAGTTTACTCTTATTCCTAAGTCATCAGATCGGAGGTCTTGGGGTGTCCCTAGTTGTTCCTCAGAGAAACTCTCAATGCAGCAGCTTTTCCAAAGGCATTTCCAAAACTGTCAGGATCTGAAGGATTAGAGAGGCTGGGCTGGAGGCAGGAGGAGAGAAGCCCCTCTGGATGGAGAGCCTGAAATGAAGGGCTTGCTTGGACACAGACAGGCCCAAACTGACCAGCCCTTCCTGACCTGAGGAGGATTCGTGATTGTGAGGACGCCCAACCTGCGTTACATTCACACGTTTCTCCTCTCAGGCAGACTTCAGACTCCCTCACTGCTCAGCCCCACGAGGGGAAGAAGCGGGTTCTGGATCACGGAGGGTCCGATCCCCCCTCCTTCTGTCGGAAAAAAGCTCTGATCTGTTTGAAATTTCCCCAGAGCAGGAAGTGGATCTGGGGATCCCTCTCCCCAAAAGCTCTGAGAAGCCTCTGGGATTGTGGGGAGGAGCAGGAAGAAGGCCGAGGTCTTTGCCTTGGGAGACTGGGAAGGGCTGGGAGACCATACTGGAGGGACTGGGCAGTGAGAATACAGGTAGTCCTCGACTCACAGCAGTTCATTTAGTGACACTTCAAAGTTACATCATTGAAAAAAGTGACATCACCATTTTAAACACTTACAACCATTTTAGCCTCCTCTTGGTCATGTGACCAGGATTTGGATGCTTGGCCACTGGTTCATATTTATGACGGTTGCAGTGATCCCGTTTTGCAACCTTCTGACAAGCAAAGTCAATGGAGAAGCCAGATTCACTTAACAACGGGTTTATTAATTTAACAACTGCAACGATTCACTTAACAACTGTGACAAGAAATTTCATAAAATGGAGCAAAGCTCACTTAAGAAATGTCTCACAGCAGCAACAAATGTGGGCTAGATTATGGTCGTAAGTGGAGGACTGCCTGTATTTATTTCTCGGGGGGGGGGGGCTTTGGAGATTCTGCCGTTTTCCATGCAGACCCAGGTTCTGCCCAAATAAGTCCCGTGAAGGATCCTGAAAATGATCTTTAAACTCTTTGGTGCCCCGGAAGAATTTCTGACCTGAAGAGCTTTCAGAATGGAGACCCAGAAGGGGCCTTGGGGATTTTCATCAGCTTAATCGATTTCCCAGGAGCCCTTTATTTATTTTATTTTATTGTTTTAATCCACTTATGAGCTGTTGTTTTTCTGTTCCTTGGGCAGCCTCAGAGTCTCTTCTGTGTTTCTATTTTGACAATGAAAACTAAACAGTGACTTAATGTGATTTTCTTTTGTCCTTGTTAGTCAAGTTTAGCACAATTTTATGTCTTGTCAATTTAGTCTCTCCTCCAATCCAAGGAAGGGCTGAAGAAACTTTGATGCTCCTCAGTTGGGAGTTTGCATGAAGGAAACTGAAATAATGTTCTATGTTTATCTTTGGTTCACCAGAGGGGCTTTAAAGGTGACAGGACCCTCCATAGAGAGGCTGAGTTTGGGGAGAGGAGCCCAGCAGAGCCCCCTCACCCCACCCAATATGGGAGTTGGCTGCAGGAACTCCCAAGCAGCCTCAGTGGGGGCAGGGGGTGGGGGCAGGGTGGAGAGGCCCCAGGGCTTTCTTCTTGGGAGTGGCTGAGTCTGAGAAACACTTAATTTAAGGCCTTTACCTTGAGAGTCATTGATTATGTGAATAGTTGGGTAGCCGCAATCAACCCCCTCCCAAACTTTGTGGAAGGCCTTGCTGGAATGGGGGAAGGGCACAATTGGGGCATGTAAAGTTTGGGGGACCTGACCTTCCCCTCCTCTCTCACCCCACCTTCCCTGCCCTCCAACCCTTCAGGCCCTCCAAAAAGCTGCTTCTTTCCCTCTCAGCCGCTCCCTCCTTCCACCTCCTGCCTCCTCTTTCATCCTCTCCCCCTTCCTTTTCCCCTTTCTCCTCCCCCCCAGCTCTCCTCCTCCTCCTCCTCTTCCTCCTCCTCCTTCTTCTCATTCTCCTTCTCCTCCTTCTCCTCCTTCTCCTCCTCCTTCTTCTCCTTCTCTTCCTTCTTCTCCTCCTTCCTCCTTTCCCCCCAGAGCCTCAGATTGGAGCCTCCATAGGATGAGGGTCCTTGACTGGAGCCCCCTAACTCTGCCCCTCTGGTTCCTTTCCAGGCGCCTCCTCGCACTCCCTGAAGTATTTCTACTCCTCCATCTCGGAGCCCAGTCAGGGGCTGCCCCATTTTGTCTCTCTGGGGTACGTGGACGGTCAGGTCTTTGCTTACTATGACAGCAACAGCCGGAGGGAGCAGCCTCGAGTCTCCTGGATGGAGAAGGTGGGGAAGGAGGACCCCCAATACTGGGACAGGAACACCCAGATAGTCCGTGGCACTGAGGAGACGTCCAGAGAAAACCTGGAGATTCTGAGGCTTCGCTACAATCAGAGCGAAGGTGAGTGATGGGTCGAGTGGCTCCTCCTGCCCCATAATCCCCTCCCCAGGAACCAGAGGGGGGAGAAAGGGGGGTCCCTTCAAAGGGAAAGGCTGCTTCCCCACATTTAAAAAGGGT